CCAAGAGGGTGGAGGTCTGTCCCAAAAGAGTGTCGTATCTGCTTCTCAAAGAGTCCTCAAGGGCAACACATCCTCTGGGTCTCAGAGCAATTTGATGGCTTCATCTACTACCACAGTGAGCACAACCCCCACCTACCGCAAGGTGGTGGTTCAGGAGACAAAAGAAATTCACTGAATGAGACTGTCAGGACAACTGAGAACCTTTTGAGTGATGCCAATAAAACTTTTCCTCTGGCTTGTTCCAAGTGGTGATGGGATGCTTGTGGGACTCATTAAATGCAAGACAGCTAATGAAGAGAGGGCAAGTTCCCCATACTCCCTTTTTAAATTTGTCAATATAATTCTCAAAGAAAGGTTTGTCAATCCCAGGCTCCCTTCAAACAGTGCCCTCCCAAAGTTCCGTGGGAAGAAGCAACATTACAGTGAATGGTCATTACTTCAACAAAGGGAGGGGGAAAGAAATACATTGAATATAAACACCAAAAAGGAATAATAATAACGATAAGCTGACTGCCCAAAACTATCTCAGCTTACCTATCTATTGACTATTGACCTACGTTTATACTGATATGGACTTGACTTGGGCATAAACATATGCAGCATAGCTATCCTTTTTTTAAATGTCTTACGTACGAATAAGTAGTATAGTTTTGCCTTGTTTTTCTCCACCTCTCACTGCAGTGACAGAATGTTACACACAATCTTGTTTAGTATACAATTAGGACATCCTCATGTTATATTTTATGTAGTCTCCTGCTCCTCTATGATCTTGTATGATGTATTTTAGTTATATGCTGCCTGTTTGTTGTTTTGCACCAATTAAAATGTTAATATAAAAAGTATTTTGCACTAATAGGCTTATATCCTACTTCCAAATAGGGGTACAAGACAGGGAAACTTACTCTCGCCATGTATAGTCAGGATTATCCTCTCGCTGCAGCTATCAGATGGAATATACATTTTCTTGGAGTTCATGTAAGCTATCCAAATGACAATAAAAATACTTGGGTATAACTGTCCTGTGTTGTCCTCTGTACAATAAATCCCCTTTTTAAAAAAGCTCTGTTCAGATATTAACAGATCTTCCTTACATTTGACAATGTGAGGTCAAGTAATTAAGTGATTAAGAGTGTTCTTTCTATTTCATGATCTCTCACAATCCTTATAACAAACTTTGTTTGGACTGGGAAATAGCATCCTAAAGCTCATCTAACTGAATAGAAAAGTAGCTCACGGTGGACTGGGGCTGCCTGATCTCTTCTCCTAAAGATTTTAGTCCTAAGTTATAGAACTAAAGGATGACTCTGATTTATGACAACCTTTTTTGAAATATTTTACTCTTATTTTTACTGATATCATTGTTCTAACCAAAGCAATTGCTGAGAACCTCATACACAATGACAACACATTGTACACTGGCTGTCAAACCAAGTTTTGCTGCACCCTGAATGGGAATAGTTCCTCATTCTACAGGTTACACTATTACATTGGTGTAGTGTGGGTGTAAAAACTTGTACAGGTTTTTTCCCAGAAGCAGCAGGTGTGGGTGGGGGAAATGAACTAGCAGCACATTAGCACTGCTGCTGAGGTTCCGTTTAGCATGGCGACCAACCGTCAGCTGCTGCTGCAGGGCTTATTTCCCCCTGGGATTATTAAATTCTGATTCTGATTCTGGTCATTGGTAGGTCTGAGGTTGTACTGAACACCTCCCAGGAGTAAATGTAATCAGTTGTGTAGGTGTGGTGGTCGGGCTCCTGACAAAGAGCACTCAAAAATATACATACATGCTTAAATAAAGATTAAATATATACAGTAAGATAATAATCTACATGAGAGTTGCATTTCATGTGACCCTTAAAAATATGAATTATAATAACCTAGATGATGTTTTGTCTGTTTGTGACACACTCAAATGGTCTCTAAGGATCACATTAAACACCACATGACAACATAACATTAGCATGATGCTCAGGGTGTGTTTCCATTTTTTCCTCAGGGTAGGTGAGTTGCTCAGTAAACATCACTGGGCATGTTTAAGCCTTCTGTTTTTGTCTTTCTTGTGCGGGTGTGTCAGTATTGGTGCTTCAGGTTGGCAGCAGACATTTTTCTGCAGAACCTGTTTTCCTCGGGAAAACACTGAATAGAAGAGCTCCACCCTAGTAGTCATCAGGGCTGAAAGAGACTGACTCAAATCTTTTCCGTTCTCACCAAACATCACAGTAAATAGAGGAAAGGTGGCTCTGTGCTTGTTCTTCAAGTTTTGCTGGTTCATTATGATTACAGAGAGCAAGTGACAGTGTAATTCTCCCATCTGAACATCGCTGTTACTTTTCTTTTATGTGATATGTGATCATCGTGCATTTGTTTTGGGGGTTTTTGTTTGCTCTTTAAGCAACACAAATGAAATCCATCTTTGAGAAATGTTACAGACAATGTGAAATTACACTGTCACAAATGTTTGGCTCTTACGTAACATTAAGCTGTTTATTATATTTCAGTAGAATGATGTCATTGCATTTACAAGACACGATATACACATTGTGTTTTGGTAAGAAAAACTGAATTTGACTTTAATTTATTTACAAAAGAACTCCACCAGGGGTCCTTGAATGGGCTTTTGGGTGTCCACAGCAAAAGGAATAGAATATTTTAACTTTTATCACAAGAAATAGGATTGGTTGTTTTATTGATTATAATTTGTAATGATCCCAGTTTGATCATTGATTGAGACTATAAAAACCTTGTTCAGAGGGGGTTAACACAAAATCCTCTCAAACTGGGGAGCCATCGTCTAATCTTACAGCTATTGTGGGGGTCCTTGACATTAAGAATATATATATATATATAAATATTTTTTATCTGACGGTGACTCGCGTACTTCCTCCCCCATTGCCTACCTGCAGCAGCCGCACTTTCTCCTTCATCCTCTCCTCCATCAGGGAGGATTGTGTAACTTTCGTGATTTGTGTTCTATTTTGTCCTGCCTGTCTGTTGTTGTTGTCTTACACAGATCTATTTTTGAGAATTGAGAATGAGACGTCTATCTGTCTAAATAAAGGTTAAAGAAAAATTTAAAAAATAAATTACAAAAATCTGGTGTAGAAGACAATGGTACACCAAATAAAGAGAGCAAGAAGAGTCTAATGAATACATAAACCCTATTTTTTCTTTTTCACAGACATTTAAATTTGCTTGCTATTTTGGCATTTCATGGCTTTTTCGAAAATGATGATAAAAGCTTATAGGCAGGACTTGAACATATATTAAAGAGGGCTGCTAATTAATTAATTAATTAATTAATCTGCTGTTTTTGCATTATTTCAGTAATTATTAATGAAATCTGTAATTCTTTCTTACCTATAAAAACTGTCTTTTAGGAGCACAAGCAGAATGCAAAATTAAGTCAGTGTCACTTAAATTTACTAAAGCTACTTGATCAAGAATGTTTTTTTAACATCAAAAATGTAGTTAGATTTTACAGTGTAATATAAAGCATTCCCTATTTTTCTAGGGACCCCGGGAACACCCTGAAGGACACCTAGCCATCTGCGAATCCCATCTTGACAATCTCTGTGTTCATAGCTGAACATTGTTTCAACTAAGTGTGAAATGTGCCAACCGAATAAAATGTGGGGTGTCCATAGTGCATATGCATTGCATTAAAACACTTCTCTTTGGATAAATGCTCCAATGTTTGAGTTCCCTAGTTTCAGTTTATTGCAGTTTATATTGTCTTATGTTGCTCATGTCCAGGACCTAGATGACCTTATGTACCACAGTTCTATTAAGGAACAGGGAGTTCTTATTAATGTGCTGTTGTAACTTCTTTACAGGTCACTGAAAAAAGGGAGTTAAATTCCAAGTTTCTTTTTTAAATTCTGACTGTTATACAAGTTTCTGGTGTTTTTATCTACACAACAGAGGCGCTGTTTGCGTTGTATCCAATCAAATGTTTTTTGGCGTGTATGTGCCAAATTGCTGAATGCAACAACAGACATGCACTGACACATCACCAGCACCACAATACAGCAGACACACAAAACTGAGTCACAGACAGACACACCTGCACGTAACACCACGCCCTGCCTGTTTTGTGTCAACTACTGTAATTATACAGCACCACACAATATCTTTCCCTCTCAGTTCCCACTGGCACTGTAGCTTCAATCCAAATATGATGGTAATCCATCTGAAGCCAAACGAAAACGTCACATGTGATCACAGAAACATTGTCCAGACTTTTACTGAACTA